TTTACACTGAGTAAAATAAAAATTCAGAATAAATTATTTTTAATAAAGCAGAATTAAAGAACCTGACATTGCAATTCACCATTGATAAAATCTAATGACAACTTTGTGTCAGGTAATCGACACAGATTCGTCCAGAAACAGGGAAAAAGGGGGTGGGGGCAGGGTTTTCACTGCTCCTCAAAGGGAACTTCTCCATTAGGAATTCTGTATCTCCAACAAAGAGAATGCGTATTTTTATAGATAGAGATAGAGATATAGAGATATAGAGATACAGATATAGATATATGCATGCACACAAACATATCTGTATCCCCAGCAAGGTTACAAACAACTATTCACTGCCTTTAGAGTGAGACTGCAAATACCAGGTTGCAATACGGTGCAGGATTGTCTCAGAATTCCAGAAAGCTGGCAATTATAAAGTAAAAATGAAACATCGTCCAACAGAAGGGAAAAGTTCTCACCGATAATTGCATCTACGCTAAAGACAGGAGGAGCCGCACTTCCAGTATCGTACAGCACAGGGAGTGTGAGTGACACTGCCTTTGTGAGCGTTTGACTTTATTGCCATCAAGGTTGTACTGCACCTATAGACAATTTCAACTTTTTTAAGTGCTGTGAAACTCCTGGTGGTTGAAGGATACCTTTTAAACGGAATATAAGTATAAAACTGCCTTCACATTTAGCTCTCCTGGGCAGGAAACCACCTCTGCACCCCAGGCAGTTGCAAGCAGCTTTGTCAGACCCCGGCAGCAGCCGCGGTTCCCCTAAAAGTCGGCCGAGAAAATCCCGACGGCGTGGCGCCACCGCTAGGGAGCGGCACACTGTCGGAGGCGAGCAGAGGCGAGGGAAGGGGGCTAACCTTTATGTCTTGTTTTTGCCTCGGCTCACAAAGTAAGAGGAGGGAAAAGTGGTTTGTTTTTTTCCTCCCCCTGCTTTATTTCAAACGCTCACCCGCCGCCTGCCCGAAAGCGACATTTCTAACGACTAGAGAAACGGCGGACCTGGGGGGCGCCAGGAGAAGGCCCCACAAGCAGAGCAGGGCGCGTTTTGGGGGCGCCGAGGCCTCCCTCACACGCCGCGGCGGCGCCCCCGCCAGGCC